CACACACACACACACACACACACACACACACACACATACACATTCCATTGATAGGATGAGCAAAAACAAAATGAATCTTCCGCCGAAACGTGGAAATATTCACATCTGGCCGCGACTGCCAACAACGGCCGTGGGGGCATACTGGAAAGATGCATGGTACCGGTAGGGGCATATAGCAAATTTTAGGCCAGGTCCTCAACGGCCAACAGGTAGGGGCGTATTGAAAAGTTGGCAGCGGTACCGGTAGGGGCATATTGAACATATTCGAGGCCCAAGTGACGCCGGGGGTTCTCTGGAAACTTGAGTCGTTGTTAGAGGGCCAATTCAGAAAAAATCGGCCGTCCGAGGGCAAATCGCCAACTAACGGAAATTTCAGGGGCATTTCACAAATTTTCCCTTTTTTTTAACATATAAGAACTTTGAAAAAATACAAACAAAAATATGGGGTTGTAGATCTCCAAAATATCTACAAGACTGTATTTTTCATTATTTTTTTGGTTAATTTTTTGCCTGCAAAAAAATCTCTGTGAAAAAAAAGAAAAACCCACCCATTTCATGTTGTTTTTTTTCTTTTTCTTTTTTTCTTTCCTTTATGTTTTTTATTTTAAAAAAATACAGAAAGACTTCAAAAAATAAAATAAAAAATACAAGGTTGTAGATCTCATTACATATATATATACATCCTCATATTTCTGACTGTATTTTACACAGACCCAGGCATTACATGGCACTCATTCGTGCAGCTGCCCACTGGGAACTGTGGGATGGTGGGATGCTGAGTCAGGCTATATTCGACGTAATGGGAGCCATCTCTCTCTTCCTGTTACATGCCCAGTTGGACGATGTAATGGTAGCCAAGGATCAGCAAATTGATGAAAAGGAGTAAATGCACAATGCAGTGTTAATGACATCTCAACAAACAACGTTCATCCTGATGCACGCAAAATGGTACTTTGTAGCGCTGTGGGAGACTTGGATATGCCTCCTCACTTGACTGGGACTGACATGACATCTCATGATACTTCACACATGTGAGAAGAGGAGGAGATACCAAACTGTGGAATACCGTAATGGTGCAAAACAGTGCACCGACCAACCTCCCTCACATAGTGTAAGATAGTGCAGCGGAATGCTAAGATACCAATCATCAACCCACTCATGTCGCAATACAGAACCAACGTACATAATCATCGTTGCAAGGTGTGAGGGGCCTGGCGCTATACACAGAAGAGTGTGCCAGGTCCAGACCATACACACACTAACAGAAGGGGGGTCAGACGAAGGAGACGACGGGAGATGGGAATGTTGCGAACACCAAGTCTTCGGTACAAGTCCCAACTAATCCCTCGTCAAATGTCTGAATCCCAATGTCTACTCTGGATCCAAATGTTGTCAAGTCCCACAGTCACAAATCTCTCTCTCTCTCGTAGTCTGCAGATACTGAGAAGTCAGGTAGCGAGAGGGTGAGGAAGAGATGGTGGACTTG